GGTGATAATTGTTATTTAGGGTTGTTCTTTCTACACAGCACGACGTGTAGTAACATGTCAATTATTATTAATTTTGTAGTTGTAATTTCCAGCCCATAGCTAAACCAGAATAGACGTAGAACTATGAAACTATTTTTGTTACTAAACTTTGATAAATAGTTAGCATAGACTTTAGACTTGTTTAGTTTATTAATCGAAATGTGATCGCTATCATGTTGAACAAAAGTTGGTCGCTTAAAAGCTGACAAAAGACAATTGACAATGTCATAAACGGTTTATTGCGTTTAGTTTCTATTTTAATATGCAACACTAGGTAATAACCAGACATTATCGAACAGACAATACTTACTTGTATTTGAAAAGGTCTCCTCCTAGTCGTTGGAGTAGCCTGCACCACACAGTAACTTCTTATTCCAATGTGTGGGACCTCTCCAATGTATCCTATTTGTTGCTTGTTGCTCTGCAGCTTCCATTGTGATATTATCGACTCCTGTGGAAAGAGCTGCATCCTCAAGGACACATGATAACCAGTTCTTACGAGGCACGGAGGCATGCCTCCATTTGCCATGCTTTGGGATCCAGTACAGAAGATAGTTGGGTACTCTCTTCTGGCATCCTCACCAAATGACCAAACTTTCTGAGCCTAGAGCTGCTAAGCTGCTCGTACAAAATATCAACAGGGGGATGTCAGCATTAGATACTCGGTAGTACCATTTGATTTTCAGGATTCTTCTCAGGCATCAGTAAGACAGACAGTAAGTATTTATAATTACGGTTCAGGGTTGCTATGGAGATTTATTGTGTTCACCCAACTACTAATTTCACGTTTACCAATTTTTCCTCGAGTACACTTCCCAACTTTAACGTGTCGATTTTTATACAATTACATAGCATAGCCTAACTATAAGTTCCCTACAACAGTTACGTTAGTTAATAGTTTTAATAGTACTAATAGTTTCCAGTATGCAGTCGTCCACTTTACTGCAGCTAATTAGCCATTGTCAGTATATTGGGTTGACTTATAATTGATCTGCTGTGATGATTGCTATTTAGGGTTGTACTTTCTGTTATATGGACAGCACGTGTAGTATAAACATTTAAACTATTATTAATATTTGTAGTTGTAATTTCGGCCCCTAGCTAAACCAGAATAGACGTAGAACCATTTTTTTCTTATCGCCATAAAACACACAATGCTGGCAAGCATGACTGTTGCCATTATATTCACAATACTATTTACCCCCTATACTATTATAATATCCCCTTTGTTGTTTTTCAGGCATTAAGACTCATCGAAAGTAGTTGAGCAGGTATATTTAAGTTCAAAACATTCTGATTCAATGTTTTAGATGACAGGAATAAGAAATAGTTAAGTGGAGGTTTTTCTGAAAATCTACCGGAAATTTTTTTTACTTTGCTTCTTCATAAAAATATTCGCTATTGTAATTAGTGCTTGTTTGAAGAATAATTTTATTAAAACACAAAAGTTGTGAATTAGTATTCTCTGGTGTTGGGCCATCCCTTAGGTTGTGGAGCTCAGTTCTGCTTCCTATAGGTCTATATTGTGCATTAGGCTAGTCAACAAATAATTTAACATCATCATCACCACTTGATGACGTCATCAAATTAACCATTTTTGAAACTTGATTTTTTACAAAGTAATAACTTTTTAAATCAATTTAAAATCATTAAAGAGTGATTAAATTTGTTATCAGAGGCTTCAAGTTAGTTAGATAATTGTTTAAGCATTCTAAAAATCTACCGAGAAGTTTTCTTTGTTTGTTCCTTCATAAAGATATTTGTCATTGAAGTTAGTGCTTTTTTGAAGAATTACTTTATAAAAACGTCAATTTTGCGATTTAGTATTCTCTGGTGTTGGGCCATGCCTTGGGTTGTGGAGCTCAGTTCTGTTTCCTATGGTGATTAGGCTAGTTTTAAAGTTGAAAATCGAAAAGTTGCACACGTGGGGACACGCCCAAATTGATAGAAAATTGCTAAAATCACTGAAAATTGCTATTTTCACCATTTTCTGTCAACTTTGGAGTCCCGTTGTGATCTAAGTCCTTTGTGAAATCTTTTGATAATAGATTAAGAAGAACTACCCGAATTATGCGTAAGCCGTGAATGAATGGGAAAAGCGAGCGACCGATTTCATTCTCGGTATCATTTTGCATTTGCGGACGGTCATTCAAATTAATATAATTTCCTTTTGTTTAGGAAAGAAAGACACTGGCAGCGGTCCACTCTACCAATGATTATGGGTTTTGGTCAAATTGTTCTTACTAAACTTTGATACTATCTTAAAAAGTGTGCACTCAAAATAGACTTCACCATAGACCTGTTTAGTTAATTGATGATGATTAATCACTCTACACTCGACTGTCACATGAGTTTTTCAACCCGTTCTCTAGCTGGTCCTGAACGACTATTCGAAACCTCAACACTCTAATCTGATCCCAACCCTAACCCAATCCCTAACAAAAGCATATACTGAAACCCTAACCCTGACGAGAAATTAGACCAACTTCCTTATACGGTCATATTACGTGATCGAGACAGTTTTTCGCCAATATCTCGCCAGGGGAGCATTTTAACCCTATGCAATGGGGGATGATTCGGAATCAGCGTCCGAAAATACATCGATTCAAGTTGGTTTCAACTTTTATAAAAATCTCGAAGATCGACTGTGGAGTGATATAGCACGCTCGTTAGTTAATAACGTAAACAATAATTGACGTTGCACGTTTCGTACAAAAGTTATAGTCGCCTAAAACAAAAGCTAACAAAAAACCGGTACTCTTTCTAGCCTCCCGCCAACTAAGAATATCAGCGCCGCAAATTATTTATCACTTTCTGGAACTTTATTAGTCAGTGATCGCAGAAAACAGCGATTCCCATACTGTAGTTCCACACGTACCCTAGTACGAAAACCTCCAAGATTGACACTGTCGCACTTCAGTACGCTACCTAGGGACTGTAGTGCGACATGAACTTAAGAGCGACACTATATGATAGTGTTGAAAGTATTAAATCTTATCAAAAAAATAAATGTTTTAATACTTTCAACACTACTATATAACAAATAATTTGAGCCTGATGAAAGTGTAGCGTACACTGAAAGCGTGCGTTTTCCTCCTAAACAGTGGTTTCAGCTGTCCTACCTAGTCTATACTACCGGATATTATCCCTAAAATCATTATCTTATTAATATCATGAGACTGATAAACAGCGAACCTCTCCAAAATATCAAATATTATAGTATTATGTTTATAGCGTTCAAGCGACGGTCGTGATCCATCCATTTCTTTTGTCGGGGAGGAGGTCTTGTCGAACTTAAAGTTTCGCACTACAATACGTTTACCGAAAACAACTACTCAGCTTCATTTCCACACAGTATAAGCGCTACTCTTAGCATGTCCCAGATGATTGTTTACCAAAATAGCTCTGGTCGAATAATTACTAATAATGCGAGTCTCACCTTGTTGAATATTTTGATTAGATTGCAAATTAATATGTGGAACATTTTGAAGCAACAAGAAATCCTAACCAGTTATAGATTACAGGTCTATTGTTTTGGCTGCAAGCATTTCACTTATCAATTCTATCCGTGATCACATGCCAGTATAGTTGCCAGGGTGTTGACGCATTAGTTTGAATTACGGTTTGTCACCTTTACATCACAGAAGACGTAATTTTAGGGTTCTTATTCTTATTTGATCGTGTTCCTTCATCGTCCGAGTTTGTGTTTTGTCTGTTATAACGTCCCGGAGGGTCTGATAAACAATACTAGAAAAGCCGTGGTCACAGGGAGGAAGAAACTGGCCATTTTGTATAGCCAGTTTTTATCGCATTGAAAAACATCCATCCAACGGAAGATACAGTCAGATTATTATAAAACACTACGTTATATAACCACACAACCTACCATAATGTCGTTCCAATAAGATTTGTAGGTGCGTGTTTCCGCCCTCGTTACTATACTATGCTACTTCCTATTTCTCATCTAATTTGTATGTGGGAGGTCGTACATTGTACGTACAAAAAACTTTCGAATTATGATATAGATTCCGTTATTCCTAATTAATTGAGTGCGGTTAAATTAAATAAATAGTAAATCATAAAATTAGCTTTAGGAATTTCGAATATCAGAGTATGTCATGATAGCGTATATGAGCATTGAGCAATTAGATACTTCAATAGTATGCATTGTTCTTGAATAGTATTATGAGAACTGCTCGAATAGTTTCAATAGGGTCTGTCTTAATATCTGGGTCAGATTAGTTCCATCAGGTACTTGTAATCCTGATCTTACTGCGGCGTATATCGAAGTATTATACTATTATTATTCGTTATATCACACAGCCTGACACAGTCAGGTATGACGTTATAACGCAATAAAAGGCATAGTTAGTCAGGTATGACAGGTCTGCACAAGATCAGGTGACCTGGTAGGATGGAAGCAAACGTGATTAGGAAATATAACACGTACCCATCTTGTAGTTCAGGAGATATGAGGAGGTCGGATTTAATTGTACTAAGTAAGTAAGTGGATATTTAATGTGTGCTGTTTTTTAGCTTTGGAGACAGTCCTCGTTAGTGCTGCCACTGGGTCTGAGAAAGTTCTGGGTCTGAGTAAGTTCTGAGTAAGTTCTGAGTCTGAGTAAGTTCTGAGTAAGTACTGAGTCAGAGTATGTCAGTTCTCGTAAGTAGTGGGTCAGAGTATGTCAGTTCTCGTAAGTACTGAGTCAGAGTATGTCAGTTCTCGTAAGTAGTGGGTATGAGTATGTCAGTTCTCGTAAGTAGTGGGTATGAGTATGTCAGTTCTCGTAAGTAGTGGGTATGAGTATGTCAGTTCTCGTAAGTAGTGGGTATGAGTATGTCAGTTCTCGTAAGTAGTGGGTATGAGTATGTCAGTTCTCGTAAGTAGTGGGTATGAGTATGTCAGTTCTCGTAAGTAGTGGGTCTGAGTATGTCAGTTCTCGTAAGTAGTGGGTATGAGTATGTCAGTTCTCGTAAGTAGTAGTGGGTATGAGTATGTCTATTTCGTTGTATTCGGAATATTTGATGTATTGTTAAAATCTTCAAGAAAAGGATTCGTTTTACAAAAGATTCTGCAAATACACATTACACCTGTTTATATTTTTGTGTATGATTTGTGAAACATTTTAAGATTAGATTTGTAACGATCAGTACGATATAATCTTTTTGCAACTTTATAATAATAAAACTTCAAAAGTTGCTACGAACGTTCTTTAATCAGGCAGACAATTATGGTATTGGAAGAAGAGAAAGGTTTAGTTCTAGAGTTGGTATAAGGTTCTACTTCAGTACTATTACTAGTATAGTACCGCACTACACCCGTCTACTCATGATCAAACTCTTCGGTCAACAAGTAAGTGCACAATTATTGATCTCCTTTATCCTTGACCTGATCAGCTAGACCGGAAGGCCGACTTAGGGGACCCCCAATTATTAGGGGTCCCTCGGTGATCAAATCATGTCACCAATTAGTGACGTATAATTAGTGATGTGATCCATCAGTAGAATTAATTGACCTGGAAATGGGCTAGACCTATCTTTAATCTCTGATCCAATAATTTCTAAGTCTATGGTCCCGCTTCATTAGTATTTTGTCCTTTAAATCCATCCTGTTCTTTATTTAATTTCTGTTTTTATCGATTTTGATTTGTCTAATTTTTCAAGTTCATTTCAAAACAGTTCAAGACTAGAATAAACCAAAAATATACGAGTCATCGCAGTTACATTTTTTTGCAGTAATTTCTGCCGAATTTTCCGAATGTTATGCAGCAGAATTTAAGGTTTGATTGCTATTCTTTCTTACGCGATAGGAAAGTTTGACTTCACATTCTATTGCATGTCGATATATACCAGCAAAACAATTATATCTCCGATAGAACTATCGAAAAATTCCTCACGTTTGAAATTATGTGTGTCAAATATTCATAACGACACTCGGACAATGAACTTTCAATAGAAAATTTTTTAGTCTGCTACATATTATTATCAGTATATTAGCAAACGATCCAAAAAATTCATTAAAACCCAAAAACATTCCGAACAACATTTCCCACACACTTGGAAGGAGGCCGCCCCCAACCCCCCAACCCCCCCCCCCCCCCCCCCCCCCCCCCCCCCCCCCCCCCCCCCCCCCCCCCCCCCCCCCCCAAGTGCAAAGTAGGATTTACGGCCCTAATATGCACATATTGTGTCGCACTGCGATGGAATACAGCTATCAATATGTCCTAAAAAATAATGTGCGCTGTGACAAAGCCTGGTATATAAAGAAGCTGTACTGTACTAGAAAATTAGAATTTAACTGCAACAAGTTAGTTAAATTTTTTAAATTTTAGAACTTAACTTAAGGTAGCAAGAATATTGGCTAAATTCCAAATTATCCAAATTAATTAAAAATGATTCCCTCTCAGGCAAAAGACACAATAATACAGCCGGCCGCGCCGCTGATAAAGACAATCCAGAAACCTGCAGTGATCAGCCAGAACAGCAGTACACAGAGCCTACAGAACAACTGCTCTGACATTCATTTGAACAACAATGGCAGCTCCAAAGTTCCAGAGAAAGAGTTGACAGATACGCTGGAATGCTCACACAGTGTTAGGGACCAGATGGAATACACCAGTAATTATAGTCCCTTGTTGCAGAGGAAGGATATGGACCTCACCTCTTGTATCAGTAAGCAACATTACCCGGTCTGAAACAGCCACCACTTTACATTCTCCTGTCGATACAAAACACGTGATGGGATATTTAAACATTGCTTGGGTTTTTATGTGAAGATAATTGTTCTAAAAGCACCTTGATTGTTTTAATTCATGTTACGTATACTTTTTCCTGCATGCCAATTGATTGGTACCCAAGCTTTAAATACCTCCCCAAAGATAACACTGATCTAAAGAGCCCCTTTATGAATGGTATGATACCTGATAACTGCTCGCAGCCCTTCCTTGTAGTTAAGTCTGACACTCGGAACAAAGGTATTGTTTTAGCATGTGAAAGGGCGCATGTATCATGAGCTAAATAATATATTGATATCTTTTCAACATGCTTTGAAAGCATGCTTTGAAAGCATGATTGATAGGGGGGGCAATGGCATAAAATGTTATGCCATTTTATGCCATTTTATGCCCTTTTATGCCATTTTATGCCATTGCCCCCCCCCCCCGATTGATAGCTTTTTATATTCACGAATATCCAAAACCCTCAGCAAACAGTGTTAAAAGCTTGCCTAACCTTCAAAAAGCTAGCGTAGCCTCTACTTCAAGTCATGCCTGTCACTGTGATCAAGAGGTAATGAAAACTGTTTTACACTTTTTCCACATTTTTTTAGTCATGTTTTCTCATGACAAATTTGTTAAAACCTAAAGCAAAAGACAGGCAAAGTAAAAATGATAGTAAAAATGTGCAGATAAAATTTACCTATGATTATGTTCATAAACATAGAATAGATATTCGGCGGAATGACAGGCTGAGCGCCGCCCAGTAAAGATAAAATAAGATTAAATATAGATGTCTTTCCTCAGGGAGGCACAGAGTGTAAAGAAGATGAGTCAGAGTGGATAGACGAGTCAGATAAAGAAGAGTCCCGGTGTTTCCTGGTAGTGAGGAACATGTGGAGAACATTTTACCTAACTGCTTGGGTAGCCGCTGCTTTCTACTCAGTTTACAACATTAGTTTGTTTGTAAACAGGTACTTTGAGCGGCCTACTCAGATAGTGATAACCAGTGTTAAACCAGGACATGACGGTTTGGAGTTCCCTACTATCTCTATATGTAACATGAATAAGATAGAGAAAGCCTTCTTGGAGGTTAATCCGACCCTTAAGAAAGTTTGGGACAGACTCGAGGCGACCAAATCTGTAGATTGGAAGAATAAAACTGTAGCTGAGATAGGGAATTTGACGTACAGTGATATATACGCTCAGAGTTTTGGCTGGCAGCGTGTGGTGGATCAGTGCAAATACGGGGGCTGGAGAGATTGTAAGGAGCTCGACTACCACCAGAGTGAACTGTTCACTGATAATGTAGGGGCAAGTGGTAAGTGCTACACTTTCAACCCCCGGGGTAGAATATTCTCCCGGAGCGTGGGTAATGAGGGCAGTTTCCGGTTCCTTATGAACACTCACAGTAACCAGTACCTGAAGAGCGTGTCAGAAGTGGGCTTTGTGGTAGACATCCACCATCACTCCAATTTCCAGGGGAGCAGCAAGATTGAGATGTCTCCAGGCTACAAGTACAGGGTGGGGATAAAACCTAAAATTAGGGTAGAGTTGCCGTTCCAGTCTGGTGGAGAATGTGATCCAACGCGAAACATTACATCGTATTTAGCGTACGACGCAGACTCGTGCGAGTACGAATGCAGGGATAGATACATAAACGCAACGTGTGGCTGCATAATATCAGCTCCCCCTAATAACCGTTACCACTACCTCACCTGCTCTATTAGACAGATGGAGGATTGTGGCTGGCTGGCGTATTACTACTTCCTTACACGGGAGGAGAACATGCCCCAACACAATAGCCATTCAAATAGCCATTCAAACGAAGAGGGGGATAGTGAGGAGAGGAAGTATACCTTTAACGAGCCGTCAGATAAACACACTCGGAAGGCGGCCACGTCCCCTGTAACTGGGAGTGGGCCCACTTTAGTGACGTCTACAGAGACCACCATGTGGCCCACTACTAGTGTGCCAGTGTTTAAGGATAGTAGTTACCTGACTTGTACAAACAGCTGCCCCCCACCTTGTTACAAACATTATTACGATATTGTAGTTTCGTCTTCTAAAATATCTACCAGAAACGCCAGGATTATGGCCAAGAACATCCGAAACGATGGAGGGTTGAACCTTTCTGCGGAGTACTTGCTAGCGAACCATGTACTGATGGAGTTTTACCTGGCAGACTCTTTCACAGAGCTGATAAAGAGTGTTCGGGCTTACAACCTGTGGCTCCTACTCAGTGACATTGGTGGAGTCATGGGCTTGTTTCTGGGGGCCAGCATTTTCACCTTCTTCGCATTTTGCAAAGCCACCGTTGTCAGAATCTACCACAGCGGTAAGGATCGTAAATCATTCTGCAAGCTCCTTAAGGATGTACTAAATGCAGCTTAGTAATAGTACGGGTCGACTAAAGAACAAACAAAGATTTCTTAACCCTTAACTACAATACGGACAGCCGATTAGGATTGGGGGACTTTTGGCTTTGGCAAATTAATATTTGTTTATTTTTTCTCTCTCAATAGGTTCAATCCTATAGGTAGGTAGGATCATCATGAGTAATGACACAGATATTTTATGATTAAATTTTTATATTTCTAGTTACAACATTTTATATTAATTTATTGTTGTTTTCTCTTAACTAGTAAGTAATTCACTCTAATAAAAACAGTTAGAATGCCAGTTACTTCCCCTAAACCCTTCAATTGTCAGTTTTAATACTGTAACCATCATATGAGGTATCCTGTGAATCAGAATTCCTCAACTCCATCGTCATCTCTGTCATCTTCTCTTTCCTCGTCTTCTGGGTCATCTTCTATATCTTCACTTACATCTTCTCCGTCTCGCGTTTCATCACTTGATTGTGAGTCATTCTCTTTACATGTTGTCCTGAGTCGTTTAAATTTGGTCAAAGTCAGCATAAGAACAGTCTGAAGTGCTGAGAAAACGACAAAGTTTATAATTCTGGTGTTTCCCAAAGCTACAGGGTGAGTTGAAAATAGTGTGTGGAATGTAAAAATCGATCATTTTTTTTATGAAGGAGCAAATTTTGAAAGGTGAATTGCTATCAGTTCATAAACTTTACATATTTCATTCTTGCCTCTCATTTGATTCTAACTCATAATTTGGTTGATTTTTGGCAGTTTTCCAAAAAATCTTAAATTCGTCCTAATGGGGTTCTCAAATCGTGTGCTCTGGACCTCAAAAAATCATCAAAAAACGAGGTCCAAGATTTTCAAAATCGAATAAAAAATGTTTAAAGGCCTATCTCAAAATTCTGTCCAGGCTCAAAAAATGTAGGAGAAGATAGATTTTTAGATTTTTAGACTTGATTTTCAGGGCACGCGATCAAAAATCGCTCGCGCAATATAATGCAATTACCTGTACCACACACGCGCTGACATTTGACCGGCAATAATTTCGGCTAGGAACGATATTTTTCCACGGCATCAAAAGCATCTGATAGATATTACTCCCCTCTATCAGAAACAACTAAAAAGTCGATTTTGAGAAAATTTCCATGAAGACCCCCCCCCCCCCCCTGCCCCCTTAATACTTTAATACAGTCAAGTCGGCTATAGACAGTTGTCTTACACGTTATCAACATGTCCTAGCTAATAAAGGACGATGGGTTGAGCAAATTATTAATTATTAAGTATTTTTATTGTATTATTATAATATTTATATATTTTCAAAAATTAAGTGGAAATTTCATTTGTCAAAAAAATTAGAGCCATTTACATTCCACACACTATTTTAACTCACCCTGTATCTATATACTAGCCCATTTGATAATAGGATACTTGATTGATCACGTGACACGTGAATAATAACCTGTCAACAGAGCGAGATGGCATCCTCCGCAGTAATTCCTGGCTTTGTGGTGTCTTCAGATAGCTGTGTAGTCCAGAGAGCAAGTGTTCTACTAGACTGTGGCTGAACTGTAGTCCTTCTGAATTGCCGGGTAAATCGTGGAACTTTCTCTGTCGTACCTGAAGTTTATGTCATTACAAATGGGATATTCATTTTTTTATAATTTTTTTACATAGAGCTACTTTTTATCAAGACACTTATTTTACTTCGGTGTATTCCAACAGCCACATTGTAACACAAGTGCAACCAGCCAATTACAGGAAGCCGAAGTATTTATTTGGCCAGTGACGGTTAAGGTAGTGTGTACCATACTTTCTTCGCCCGAGACTTTGCTGCAATGTGCAGCTCCTCATTTAGTCATTTAACCCTCACACCCGATTTCTCGAGTATTCGGCTGAGTAGACCGGGGGGCTGCATAGACCATTCAGGATCCTTAGCTGAACGTCGACGACGCTCACCCCACGACCAGGCAGACAGTGGGATTCAAACTCGCAACCTCACGATTTGCAAAGATGGCGTTCTAACCAACTGCGCTACCTCGCCGCTTAGGTTCAGGATCATTATAATATATAAAGCCGGACTTCTAGGCAAAGCCGGACTTCTAGGCAAAGTGCTTGGTTGTGGGACACATTCAACTAAGTAATATTGGTATATTCATTGGAAATCTATTCTCATACTTGGTGGGTACAGCTTACACTGGCAGTGTGGCGCCAGCTTCACCCTTAATTCCTATTACTGTTTGTTTGTTTGTTTGTTTGTTTGTTTGTTTGTTTATTTGTTTGTTTGTTTGTTTGTTTGTTTGTTTGTTTGTTTGTTTGTTTGTTTGTTTATAGAACCCGTCCCCAATCTCGTATCGGGAAATGACTAAACTCAGGTCTGAGTGTGAATACGGGTGGTACCTGCAAGAGTGTTCATTAAGCATTTAGAGTTCTGTGAAACTGCAGTTACAATTGTGCTAGAGTATTTTTAGTATATACGATTGGTATCAGATATATATCCCTACATGCTTCCAAAATTTGTAAAGCCGTAGTACTGTAGTACATACATCACTGCCTACGTACGGGGTAGACAGCCACGGATGATTTTGTCTGTGAGCTTTTCATCACTTCCTGACATGAGCCAGACCTCAGCTGGATCCTTCCTTTTCCTTTTTCTTTACTTCCCGTTCAGTCTACCTCTTCATCATCAGTTTGAGTTGCTTCGCCTTGCATTCGAACTTTGCCTCCACAGTTCACCACGGCATCTCTTTTGGATGCCTCCTGCCGGGCAACACTAGCTCTCAGACACTGGCTAACTTACCGCGCACGGTTTAGTTAGTTAGTTTCTGTGGCCGTGTATTCCGTTTTATGCCACCCTCTCTGCCGTTCTCGTGCTTGCGCTCACCCACTCCTTAGTGGGCTGTTCATTTGACAGAGTTACTGGCTGGCACTCTCATCATCTTCTCACTCACCATCACTGCCCAATCAAATTTATGCAATCAAAATCACTATACATCCATAATCATATGATCAAAACACAAAGCTTTAAAATATACTTTTTTCTGTTTGAGATTTGAATAACGTTACTGTAATGTTCCAAATTATATTTGAAATGTTTTTAAAAAATGTACATATCACATTACACCGGAGCCTACATAGTGCAATCTCCTCCAGTCGATCAGCGCCGTGTATGTTTATATAAGCGCGCGGCCCAGATTGGAGGAAACCACACTCTGCAAGTTCGATAGCAATTATTTGACAATATTTTATTGCTGTGAACCTTCCGACTCTAGACCAAGTCGCGCGATGGGCAGTGTTTCATGTTTGGCGTGTGCACGTGGACGCCGCGGTTACCATGGAGATGTTGGCTGCAATGTATGCGCGATACGCGTGCACGCTCATTTATTTATCTTTCACTTCCAATTGCTCTTAAACTTATAAAAAACAATGGTCAACTTAAATACAAGTGCAGCAGTGCTCACAGGAAATGAGATCAATCAGTTATCTGCAGCTGTGATTCTTCTAGGAGTATTGGTATTGGCTCTAGGATTCCTCGTCATCGGACTTCACATTCGTACAGTGAACAAAATTTCGAAGGTCTTCAACGAAATTGACTTGGAAGGGGGACTACAAGTTCCTAAAGAAAAGCCACCACAACAAGGCCCCTTACAACAGGGATTGCTAGACCCAAGGTTTCCTGCTTCAAGGACTCTCGACAGCACTAGCAGGTCAAAAATATGGAAGACGAGAACGGAAAGGGATAGATCAGCGCGTTCAAAGGTAAAATTTTAGAATGATTCAGCTTCGTTTTCAATTTTATTTCACAACACTTCAAATTGATTCAAGGTTTCATCACTTTTTTGATGCAATTTAATCTCTTCATGAACACTATTTGGAACTTAAATATTGTTAATTGTTACATGCTTAATATAAATTGTAAAACAGTAATTTCTTTTAGGTAGGTTTGGGTGCCCGCAAACACAAATACGTGTCTTCGAGTATCTTCCCAGATGAACTCGTTTTCATCTCCGAGAGTGAAGATTCCAGAAGGGTGCAGAAATTCATAACGGCGGGTAGAGAAGTCGTCAAAAAAGAAATGCCTCCAAAAGGGGAGGATGGAATAAACTCCTGTGGAAACAATGAAGTTGAGAAGAAAACTGACAAAGGGGATCAAAGTGTCTCTGAATATTTAACATCAAATGAATCAGAAAGCGAACTATACACCTACCCAAATGGAGCAGGGACAGTGACATTTGCTTCAAATAACACAACAGAGGAGTTACAGAGAAATCGTAAATCTATCTCAGAAAATAATTTGCTAATCAAAGACAATACATCTCGCGGAGCTGGCCAGTTCCCGAAACAGCTTGTAACGAGATCTCGTGACCAGGTAAATGGATAGTTAAACAAATGAACTTTTCATAAGTCATTTGGTACACGAATTAAGTTTGTTGAATCTTGTAACACCTTCGCATTTGTGATACAAGCACTTATAGTTTTTCCTTGAAAGCTAATCAACTGATCTGAAAATATGTAACTGCAATCTATAAAAATCAATTGAAGCAACACTGATCTTATTGCAGAGGGGGGATCTTAGCCTAATTTAATCTCATTTTATCTCTGCAGAATCAGGGGGATCAGGATTATTGCCTTACTGTTTGAAAAGTCTACCGACATACGCTCTGACACACGCTCTGACATACGCTCTGACACACGCTCTGACATACGCTCTGACACACGCTCTGACACACGCTCTGACACACGCTCTGACACACGCTCTGACATACGCCCGGACTCACGCTCTGACACACGCTCTGAAATACGCTCTGACACACGCTCTGACACATGCTCTGACATACGCCCGGACTCACGCTCTGACACACGCTCTGACACACGCTCTGACACACGCTCTGATACACGCTCTGACACACGCTCTGACACACGCTCTGACATACGCTCTGACACACGCTCTGACATACGCTCTGACACACGCTCTGACACACGCTCTGACACACGCTCTGACATACGCCCGGACTCACGCTCTGACACACGCTCTGAAATACGCTCTGACACACGCTCTGACACATGCTCTGACATACGCCCGGACTCACGCTCTGACACACGCTCTGACACACGCTCTGACACACGCTCTGATACACGCTCTGATATACGCTCCGACACACGCTCTGACACACGCTCTGACATACGCCCGGACTCACGCTCTGACACACGCTCTGAAATACGCTCTGACACACGCTCTGACACATGCTCTGACATACGCCCGGACTCACGCTCTGACACACGCTCTGACACACGCTCTGACACACGCTCTGATACACGCTCTGATATACGCTCCGACACACGCTCTGACACACGCTCTGATATACGCTCTGACACACGCTCGGACATAATGCTCGGACACACAGTCGCGGTCTGACACACGCTGACATACGCTCGGACACACGCTCGGACACACGTTCGGGCACACGCTCAGACACACGCTCTGAAATACGCTCTGACACACGCTGACACACGCTCAGACACACGCTCTGAAATACGCTCTGACACACGGTCTGACACACGATTGGGCACACGCTCTGATATACGCTCTGACACACGCTCGGACATATTGCTCGGACACACAGTCGCGGTCTGACACACGCTGACATACGCTCGGACACACGCTCGGACACACGTTCGGGCACACGCTCAGACACACGCTCTGAAATACGCTCTGACACACGCTGACACACGCTCAGACACACGCTCTGAAATACGCTCTGACACACGGTCTGACACACGATTGGGCACACGGTCTGACACACACACACACACACACACACACACTGACATACGCTCTGACACACGCTCTGACACGCTCTGCAGCAGCAACTGCAGACACCACAGTCATGGGATAGGATGCATTAATCGTTTCTTGTTATTATTCATAAACCAGAAAAAAACCAAAAAAATGTTAAAAGAGGCAAAAACAAAGAAAAAACAAAAAAAAACAAAATCCAAAAAAAAATTACTTCATAATGTGGTTGTCCCTTTTTACAACAGCATTCATTAATTCGATATAATTTTTTCCGATATCAAAAAGCCCAATGAGCTTGTTTCACTTGTATAAAACTTATGTGTTTCTTAGAACTTCACGAATTATTTTATAAAATAAAATAATCTTATCTTACTAATAATTCCTATTACTAGTTATTACTCAAAACACTGGCCAGTCTTATCTTAAGTTATTTTCAGTTGGCAAACCTCCAAACTCACCAAGCTGTGTAACAAAAGGCTAAACGAGCTAATGTGCGGACATTAAGCATGTTAAATAATTAATTGCTCAATGATTTATCTGCTTTAGTATTTATAAATGTTAAAAAGTAATATAAAGTTTACCCTATGAGAACAGACAGTATTGTCACTAGTTTGTGTAGCTGTAGAGGTCCCTGCTTTACTTGTCCGTATCGACTCTGATGTTCTTGTGTCACTACCTTTACTCCTTCTAGCACCTTGCTATTCATTAAAATATAGTTAATAAAGAGAAGACTAAAGCTTGTTTTGTAAAATGTGATACACTGTTTACACTACCTACTACTAGGTGCAATACCAGAAATGAAACGAATATTCCCAAGAATAATTAACTCACCACTTTCCTGACAGGACCTTGATGAACAGAGCCTGTATTACAGTTTGTGAAGTGTAGTCTGCACGAGTCACACATGTGACGCTCTTCTCCCTCTACTGAGATCTCTACACCAACCTTCTGCAACAACACTCAGTCATCTTTACATTGTGAATATATTGTATATATATATATATACAATATATTCACAATGTAAAATATATATACTATATGTATAACTATCTTATCTCCAAAACCTTTTGTCGGCGAAAATTTTTTGGCAGCTTTTTTCATTTCAATTCCCCGTTTATTTTTTGAATAGGCAAAAATACCGAGCAGAAGGGGGATCTCTGCATATTTTACCTGTCTGCAAGGACACGGGAAATGCCAATGTATCTGGACTACTGTAGGTTTCGGCCGGTCCAAATATTCAAAACTTAGGTCTTCACTGAAAATTATCTTGTCATTTAAGTGGGTGAGTTATAAATATAAGAACAAATATGAAAAAGTAACAGAAACAATAAAAATCAAAATATTGGGCTAGCAATACAAAATAGGGAAATATAAATATGAAACATAAAAAACAAGTAATCCAAATGAACCTGGAAGGACTATAGCCAATAGAAAGGTGTGATACTGTAGATTCATCTGTCTCAATGTGTTTTGCTTCGTCAACTGCAAACTGTTCTATAGAACTCGTAGATGACAGTGATTGAACGTGGTGACCTTCGTCGAGGTAGATCACCTCTTCTTCTGCATGTGCCGACCAACCAGACAATGTCTTTATCGAACTTTCCGCAGGCTCGCCAATCTCGGTGAAAATGACAGGATCGGACACAACTCGGGGAGCACGGACCACCTGATCGTCTTCATCCGGATCCTTTACATCAGAGAAGGAACTGAGAGTGTCAGCATCCTTGCCCTGCAAAGGATCAGACTCAGCGAAGTCAGTTTTATCCGTGCTGCTAGCTGGAGAACGTCCAGATGAAACTCCTGTGCCGGTCTCCGAAATGGCTGGAGGACTTGTGCTCTTTGTCGTGGTTGTTGATGACGATGATGATGGAGTGGGTTCTCGTATGACTGGAACCGAAGGAATCGCCTTATCACTGCTGGACGAACTTGAACTAGAAGTAGAATCGTCGGATGACGACGAAAAGGATGATGTGGTTGACCAGGACGAGGATGATCTCGACAGGCCAGACAAACGTGTCGGTGACGTACTTGTACTTGCCTTATATCCATCACTCGGCTCACTAATGTCTCCATCGCCTAGCGACAGTGACTCCCTGTCCAAGGAAGTGGAGTCCCCTAGTGATTCAAGGTAATGGCTGATTCTGCCGACCGATGCGTGCCGGACACTCTTGCTGTCCAGCGAAATAGAGCTGGTGCTGTCACCTGGAGCAGGTGATTGAACGTGGTGACCTTCGTCGAGGTAGATCACCTCTTCTTCTGCATGTGCCGACCAACCAGACAATGTCTTTATCGAACTTTCCGCAGGCTCGCCAATCTCGGTGAAAATGACAGGATCGGACACAACTCGGGGAGCACGGACCACCTGATCGTCTTCATCCGGATCCTTTACATCAGAGAAGGAACTGAGAGTGTCAGCATCCTTGCCCTGCAAAGGATCAGACTCAGCGAAGTCAGTTTTATCCGTGCTGCTAGCTGGAGAACGTCCAGATGAAACTCCTGTGCCGGTCTCCGAAATGGCTGGAGGACTTGTGCTCTTTGTCGTGGTTGTTGATGACGATGATGATGGAGTGGGTTCTCGTATGACTGGAACCGAAGGAATCGCCTTATCACTGCTGGACGAACTTGAACTAGAAGTAGAATCGTCGGATGACGACGAAAAGGATGATGTGGTTGACCAGGACGAGGATGATCTCGACAGGCCAGACAAACGTGTCGGTGACGTACTTGTACTTGCCTTATATCCATCACTCGGCTCACTAATGTCTCCATCGCCTAGCGACAGTGACTCCCTGTCCAAGGAAGTGGAGTCCCCTAGTGATTCAAGGTAATGGCTGATTCTGCCGACCGATGCGTGCCGGACACTCTTGCTGTCCAGCGAAATAGAGCTGGTGCTGTCACCTGGAGCAGGTGATTGAACGTGGTGACCTTCGTCGAGGTAGATCACCTCTTCTTCTGCATGTGCCGACCAACCAGACAATGTCTTTATCGAACTTTCCGCAGGCTCGCCAATCTCGGTGAAAATGACAGGATCGGACACAACTCGGGGAGCACGGACCACCTGATCGTCTTCATCCGGATCCTTTACATCAGAGAAGGAACTGAGAGTGTCAGCATCCTTGCCCTGCAAAGGATCAGACTCAGCGAAGTCAGTTTTATCCGTGCTGCTAGCTGGAGAACGTCCAGATGAAACTCCTGTGCCGGTCTCCGAAATGGCTGGAGGACTTGTGCTCTTTGTCGTGGTTGTTGATGACGATGATGATGGAGTGGGTTCTCGTATGACTGGAACCGAAGGAATCGCCTTATCACTGCTGGACGAACTTGAACTAGAAGTAGAATCGTCGGATGACGACGAAAAGGATGATGTGGTTGACCAGGACGAGGATGATCTCGACAGGCCAGACAAACGTGTCGGTGACGTACTTGTACTTGCCTTATATCCATCACTCGGCTCACTAATGTCTCCATCGCCTAGCGACAGTGACTCCCTGTCCAAGGAAGTGGAGTCCCCTAGTGATTCAAGGTAATGGCTGATTCTGCCGACCGATGCGTGCCGGACACTCTTGCTGTCCAGCGAAATAGAGCTGGTGCTGTCACCTGGAGCAGGTGATTGAACGTGGTGACCTTCGTCGAGGTAGATCACCTCTTCTTCTGCATGTGCCGACCAACCAGACAATGTCTTTATCGAACTTTCCGCAGGCTCGCCAATCTCGGTGAAAATGACAGGATCGGACACAACTCGGGGAGCACGGACCACCTGATCGTCTTCATCCGGATCCTTTACATCAGAGAAGGAACTGAGAGTGTCAGCATCCTTGCCCTGCAAAGGATCAGACTCAGCGAAGTCAGTTTTATCCGTGCTGCTAGCTGGAGAACGTCCAGATGAAACTCCTGTGCCGGTCTCCGAAATGGCTGGAGGACTTGTGCTCTTTGTCGTGGTTGTTGATGACGATGATGATGGAGTGGGTTCTCGTATGACTGGAACCGAAGGAATCGCCTTATCACTGCTGGACGAACTTGAACTAGAAGTAGAATCGTCGGATGACGACGAAAAGGATGATGTGGTTGACCAGGACGAGGATGATCTCGACAGGCCAGACAAACGTGTCGGTGACGTACTTGTACTTGCCTTATATCCATCACTCGGCTCACTAATTTCTCCATCGCCTAGCGACAGTGACTCCCTGTCCAAGGAAGTGGAGTCCCCTAGTGATTCAAGGTAATGGCTGATTCTGCCGACCGATGCGTGCCGGACACTCTTGCTGTCCAGCGAAATAGAGCTGGTGCTGTCACCTGGAGCAGGTGATTGAACGTGGTGACCTTCGTCGAGGTAGATCACCTCTTCTTCTGCATGTGCCGACCAACCAGACAATGTCTTTATCGAACTTTCCGCAGGCTCGCCAATCTCGGTGAAAATGACAGGATCGGACACAACTCGGGGAGCACGGACCACCTGATCGTCTTCATCCGGATCCTTTACATCAGAGAAGGAACTGAGAGTGTCAGCATCCTTGCCCTGCAAAGGATCAGACTCAGCGAAGTCAGTTTTTATCCGTGCTGCTAGCTGGAGAACGTCCAGATGAAACTCCTGTGCCGGTCTCCGAAATGGCTGGAGGACTTGTGCTCTTTGTCGTGGTTGTTGATGACGATGATGATGGAGTGGGTTCTCGTATGACTGGAACCGAAGGAATCGCCTTATCACTGCTGGACGAACTTGAACTAGAAGTAGAATCGTCGGATGACGACGAAAAGGATGATGTGGTTGACCAGGACGAGGATGATCTCGACAGGCCAGACAAACGTGTCGGTGGACGTACTTGTACTTGCCTTATATCCATCACTCGGCTCACTAATGTCTCCATCGCCTAGCGACAGTGACTCCCTGTCCAAGGAAGTGGAGTCCCCTAGTGATTCAAGGTAATGGCTGATTCTGCCGACCGATGCGTGCCGGACACTCTTGCTGTCCAGCGAAATAGAGCTGGTGCTGTCACCTGGAGCAGGTGATTGAACGGGTGACCTTCGTCGAGGTAGATCACCTCTTCTTCTGCATGTGCCGACCAACCAGACAATGTCTTTATCGAACTTTCCGCAGGCTC